CTGCTCTCCCTTATTCCCTTCATCGCTGGACCTCATGGAGCGCTGCTGCCTATGTACTGCCCGAGATCACAAGCTCAGAAAAAGCCAAGGACCAAAGGGGGGTGGCTACTGTATAGACATGTATAACTAACATGTTGTCTTCATGCTATTCCTTTTCCCAGCCGAGCAGGCTTTTTAAGCCATGTTAAGGTAAATAAATGAAGCTCACGATACTTATGTTTTTCACCAGGCAGTGTGCACAGTATGTTAATGAATCGGTACACAGATCTATTTGTACCTTGGTTGAGTACCTGTGTCCGTTTCTGACCACATAACAGAGACATAAAAGTCCCTGGAGCTCTCTTTAGTTTCTGTGGTGACATGTCCTCTTAGTCAATCTAGCATTAACAGTAAACACAAAAAACAGTAGCAACAATAAAGGAGCTTCAGCTGCTGATTGACCTTTTACTGCATTTGGTTTTATGTAAAAAGTCACAGATAGCATTTGTGGTTAGCTAGAACGTGATGTTTCCGCTACGACTGCGTTAAACCAATCAGCGGTTTGTATCAGCACTAGCTCCACCAAAACATTCCAGCTTGGTACGCTTGCCAAACCAACCCGAAGGGTAACCAAATTCAGCAGGGGTACTCAGGTAGTGTACACTTCACTTGGGAGTGGCGGAAAAATATCATTAGGTATAAGAACGGGGGTAACCTATTTCAGCTAAAAGTGTGTACAAAAACAAAGGAAAAGGTCTGAAGAAAGAAGAGAGAACAGAAAAAGAACTTCATCCTGATCCAAGTGATTAATCAACTTCACATTCTTGGCACAAACCACAGAAGAGATATTACATGTTTTTTTTCTTTTTCTTAACCTTGTTGTACTCCACGTGCAGCTTCTCCTGCTCACTCTCCAGCTTGTCTTTCAGGTTCTTCTGCTCGGAGATGTTGTCCTGGATCTGGATCATCCTCATGTTCCGCTCTGAATACCAATGGACACATACAGATCAATGCAAAGATGGTTATCTACTTACAGTAAGCACAACACAGAGAGAGAGAGAGAGAGAGAGAGAGAGCGCGAGAGAGCGCAAGAGAGAGAGAGACAGAGAGAGAGAGAGAGAGAGAGAGAGAGAGAGAGAGAGAGAGCTATCTGATGGAGGATAGGCCTCCTACTGGAGCCTAATGGAGTGTGCGCCCAAGGTTACCCCACACATCTGCTCTTAGCATCACTCATTTGGAGGGCGAGTGCCTCTCTGCAAGGCTACCTACCGAGTGGAATGCATGTCTGGCACTGATTCTCTAATTCTGCCCGCTGTTTTGCAGTAAGAGATGAGTGTTAGAGGATAGTAGCAGCAGATGTTGCAAGCGCAAGCTTTTCTGCATTAAAATAAGCCAAGCAACAATGGTGGTTAGGAAAATGTTGAATTTCTATGCAATCATTGACAAACATCTTCAGCATCAATATGCTATAATGCTGAGATGTTCCCTCAACCAATGTAGTTAATAAGCTCATTTTAGAGCTCATTAAAGCTGAATGCTTCAGAATGGTACGTGTTTCACAGCAGCAGTCAGAAATTTTAGTTCCAGTATTTCCCTGTAACCCTTAAATGCACGAGCGTTTCACCATTTGTAGGCACCTCAGGGAATTACTTATCTGGCACTTACAGTACTGTGAAAAGTAAGAGACCACCTTTCAAGTATTTAGTTCCAGTGGAAACACCCATTTTACAGCATCAGGACAAAAAAAACAACAAAAATAAGACAAAATAGATAAACACAACATAAAACATATTTAACAGAACATTACAAGAATTCTAAACAACTAATTTTTTTTTCAGCATTTAGTGTTTCCACTCTTTGCCCTTAACACAGCTTCCAGTGCTTTTTGAGGGACTTACTTTTAATTTTCAAAGAAATCTGCAGGAATGTTTTTTTCACACCTCCAAAGTTTAGTCTTAGAAGTTGGTTGCATCTAAGGCTCACAATCAACTTGTGCACTTCCTTATGCATGTGCATTATCTTATATCTAATCCCGTCAGCTCAGAAACATCTCCTTAAAAATTTATAATTTGTACTTAATGATCATTTTGACTACTATTATAATAAATAAAGGGTGGTCTTGTGACTTTTGCACAGTACTGCGTCTCACACTAATTTACAAACTGCTATGACAGTGTACAACTGTCAGCTCACTTTACTAACAAAATGAATAAAATACATTCTGTTATACTTTCGGATTTTGTTTATCACTTGTCTAACAGACTGTGCAACACATTACTGAGAGCATGGATGAGATAAAGGGGTGGGTATATGATATGCATGAGGTATACATTGCAGAGCTAGAAAAAACCTAGGCTAAACATGATGTGCATCAGTGCTACTGTAGTTAATTCCAAGACCAGGTTTACTCTACATAACCAGGCCTTATGGTTTAATGCTGAACAGTCACATACCGAGGTAATAGTTGACGAAGTCTGCAGTGAGCGCAGGCTGCTTGTGTTTGCGGCGGCCATCTATGCTGGCGCTTGTGTCGGACGTATCCACAGGGAAGATATCTGTGCTGATGCCCATGAGCTCTGCCTTGCGCATCAGCTTCCGGATGGCGGAGGCACTGGAGGTAAGTGGGCGGGGCAACTTCTCACGCGGCACCCACGCCTGTGGCCGTGTGTTTCGTGAAAGCTCCGCCTTTGCCCGGTACTGCTGCAAACGCGTGGTGATCCTTGCCTAGGGTTATGGAAAAGAAAAGAAAAAAACCCAAACACACACGCATCATTACAAAAGCTACAGCAAACTGAAGAAACATCTCTAATGACATTTCCTTAGTTAATTCATTCATTAATTATTCATTCATTAATCTCTGATCTACACTACAGTTTAAAAGTTTGGAATGACTTGTCATTACTATAATTGTTATTCAATAATATACAGTGTAGACTAAAATGATAAAAGTTGAACACCAAAACATAAACTGACGATTTTTGGCTTGTTTGTTTAAGTATTTTAAAAACAAGAAATAATGACATTGTAAAAAACTACTAAAAGTAATAAACTTTACAAATCTATTTACAAGATGTTGTCATTAAATTACAAAACAATTTCTATGCATATTATACTCATAGTAATAGCTATTTGATAAATGAGTTATGATGAAATCTAAAGCTACATATACACGTTATCAAAAATTTCTTCGTTTTTCAGCTTCCTACTGAAATTAATATAATACCATCCTATTAGAATGATTTTATACATGTATCTGCAACAAAACTGGTTTCATGCTATTTTATTTTGGATTTATGTTAGACAAACAGAGATTCTGCACTTCTAAACGGTAGCGTATATAGCTGCTAACATTAGCATAACTCATATAAAATCTTACATAAATGAACAGAGTTTTTGTTATGACAGAGGCAATATAAAGTAGGCAGAAACCACAAATGTCACAGCCATTTTCCATTTTCCTTCCTTACTGCAACTGCTGAGCTGGTGGACACTCAGTAGTAGAAGTACTAGAGACACTCATGCTTTGAACCAGCAGAAGGTGCAGCTATAAGGCTTGGCAGCTCTGTGGTGTTAGCTCAGACCTGGGCTTCTGGAGTGAGCTGCTTCTCTCTCTCATGCAGGGACACTTTGCAGTAGGACTGCAGGGCCAGGTAGTTCTTCCTCTTCCACTTCCTGTCAAAGCGGTCAGCATGCTGCTTGCAGTAGGCAAAAAACGGGTCGGCAATGTCCTAGAGAGAGAAACAACCACTGTCAGAGGGAGATGGAGTACAGACCTAAATAAATGGTAATGGTACAAAGTTTGGTTTGCACGTACATCTCCAGCAACGTAGAGTAAAGGTCACCTTATGCTTGCATGGACAAAAGTGCACACAGGGCTTCGTGAGCACAGTAAATTTATTCCTTCAATGAATGAGGTTTGCTTCGCTGTCTAATTTCTAGCTGCCTATTCTTTGTTGTCCACTGAAATCATAAACAAAGTTATTAAGAATGCTATGAAAATGCATTTTGTTGCTGTGGATATCTCCAGATGTTCCTTCTCTCAATATGTGGTTGACACAGATCTCGAATCTTCTCCCACTGGATCAATATACTTTTGAAATTCATCACAGATACCAAAGATTTAGCTAAAATCTGGTCACGGGAAATACTAGGAGGGACGTGAATTATGTTTGAGATCTGCATGTTTTCTCCACGGTCTTTACAGTTCTGATTTTGTGCCATTTGTGTTTCATTGTTTCTCAGTTTTGTGGTTTCTGTAGCATACATTGTCATATCCCCCCTTTTTTCTTACCTTTTTGTATTTACTAATAATTTACAAAAATCCCTTTTTTTCTTTTCTAACTGCAATCAGGAACTTTTTCAGTGTTTCCTGCTGCAGTTAGTGTAATCTGTAATCTGTTTTTAATATAATTAGCCCCTTTCTGTTACTGGAGCGATGACTGACAATTTGTCATTGTAAGGATAAATCTTTGTAAATCAATAAACATATCATAAAAAAAGGGGGTTTGAATTGCTGCGGTCTAAATAAACCTATCGAGTCAACATAGTTTACAACAGTGGTGACAGAAACCAGATGTTGGAAGACTTTAATGCCTCTAAAAGCTCTCTCACAATAAGTGATGGCATTTCATATTAACCACTATTTTATCATTATCATCATTAGATATGAACACTAAGATGACACATACAGGTCCACACAGGTCATATTGGATAGTTCATAAAATGGCTATATTTGTCACAGACATTGCCATCCCCGGTTCCTATCACCGCCATTTTAAATAAATAAATAAATAAATAAATAAATAAATAAATAAATAAATAGGTTTCTCCACAATGAACGATTTCACATCAAACCACCCTGAATGACTTTGTTTACTCAACTATAGAATTATGCAGAAATGCCCTTTAAACCAGCAGGAAAACGCAGACCAGTTCAATAACACACTGATTGGAATCTTGTTTAGTGTGTTAGCTCATTTTACCAGATCAAGAAGCTGTTGTGAGTACATATTTTGGGGGTGTGGGGGGATGTTTGGGGGCACTAAACAAGAGTCAAAGATGTTCACCAAAAAAAAATTCCAATATTCAACCATAACCTGTATAATCTAAGCAAAGAATAAATTAGTCTTCAGCAAGCTTAGACTCCAATTACATCCCCTGGCTGATGTGAAGGGTGTAGAGAACCATGTAAAGCAGCTTTGTGGATTTAAAAGCCCAATCTCTACGCTTTGAAGTATTATGTATCCTCTCGCATTTCTAGATGTTGTCCCAACATCACCATTTCTCCAGATTTCATTTTGTGTCCTCCAATCCTGGTACGTGTGATAATTCTAATGTATGGTTTCATTATTGGCGGAGATAGGCGTATCTGCTCAGCGGCAGGCTCACTCATTTTGGTGGTTGTTGGTAATGACGTCCTGAGCTCCAGACTGGAGCCTGTGTGCGCGCAGATAACTGTGACAAATACGCCACAACGGCAGGTCTGTAAATTTCTTCACTTTTTAAAGGCCGAGAGCATTTTACAGCGAACGCAGGCTCTGGAGCAGGAGGAAGACAGCAAAAGCGGAACTGGGCACGAATTCCAGGAACAGAGAGCGACTACAACTCCGTTTTTCTCAGAATTGGAGCCCCAGCGAGGTGGAGCTTTAGAACAGTATAAACCTTTAACGGCTGCTTCATATCTCAAGCCTTTAGACAGCAGACATTTTCTCCTCAGCAACCCTGAATTCAACACACGCATACACACAGTCCTAGACGCCTACCCCTCCCCACTCTGTTGAGGTTGCTGGAAGCACTGCCATTTTCCAGCTCCCGGTGCCCACGGAATCGTTTAGGCTTAAGGTTTCTTGCTGGATGCTATCAGCGAGCTTACCTGTTGATACGAGGCCCTTTGCACAGCTGACTGGATTAAGTGGATTGTGGCGAGTAGGCACTTTTCCCCAAGTGTTTATCAGCACAGAACGTCACCTTTATACCACAGGCCTCTCTGATACGGGCTACATATTTGAGCCATGAACTTGATGGGCTGTTACTGTGGCCCGGCACTGCAAGATTCAGTTGTTATATTTGGACCGCCTGATCCCCAGGAGGAAGAAAGGGAGGATAATTAAACCAGCACTAATTAAACGGACAAACAGTTGTCGAGGGACAAACATTGCAAGTTAGCATAAAGCTATAAAAATAATTACGACATCACACTAGTTTTTGCAATTTTCTATCTTTGTGTCTGGTTCTTTTAATTAAACATTCAGGGTGGATACCAGTTTTTTTGTTTTTTTTAATTCTCTATAATTAGATCACGCACATGTAAACAAGGTCATTTAGAGTGGTTTGATGTGAAATACATCATTCTAGAGCGTCTGAATGGTTCACAGCAGTAGTAATACAAACCAGATGTCTGAAGTGATTAATGTCTTTAAAAGCTACAGCACAGAAATCTATAACATGAAAGAATACACTGCCTGAGGCATGAGACATTATTACATGACAGTTTTGCGATAAGGTTTTGGCTTAAAGAACACGGTTTGGGTGGAGTGGTACATGCAGGGTGGTGTAAGGCAAAATAGTTCCCAAAGAAAATGTATTTTATGAATCTTACCACTCTTTTCCCTTTATCAATATTATATGTTAGCATAAAAGCTCAGAAGACACATGTTGGTTCACTTGTCATTTTGGATGGTAAATAAAATGGTGATGTGTGTTGTGGACATCCAAGCCCTGGTAGCTATAACTACTACTATAAAGAAATCTTAAACTCTTAAAACTCCAGGAGTACTGCTGTGTCTGACCCACTCCGACCAGCGCAACACACACTAATACACCACCACAACGTCAGTGTTACTGCACTGCTGAGAATGATCCAGCACCCAAATAGTACCTGCTCTGTGAGGGTCCATGGGGGTCCTGACCACTGAAGAACAGGGTAAAGGGGCTAACAAAGTATGCAGAGAAACAGATGGACTACAGTCTGTAATTGTAGAACTACAAAGTGCACCTATATAGTCAATGTAGTTGATAAAACAGGCAATGAGTAGAAACAAGGAGGTTGAGATATGGTGTTTACAGTGGGTGAACTGCTGCTGAAATGCATTTGGGTGATATGACAGGTGAGGAATTGCGCAGAATTGTGTAGAATTGAGGTGTAACTGCTGTCCCATAGACTGTTTTGGGGTAGAAGAGTCAGAGCACATTACGTTGCAGTGCATGCTGGGGACTGTAGTGCAGCACATTGTGAAATGGGCTAATATTAATAGAAAATTAAAATACTTTTGTGGGCTGGATAGGATTGTGTGGTGGGCCTGATGTGGCCCGCAGGCCTTGTGTTTGACAGATGGGTCCTAAAGGATTAAGAGAAATGAGAAAAAAGTCATGTAAAAATGAATTATGACTGTTTCTGGAACACTCAAACAGCTCTCTGCAGAACAAAATGTAAGATATGGGCCCTTTAACAATTTCCTGGGATTTTGCAGCACCAGCCATTGAAAATAATAATAATTAGAGAATTTGATTAAAAAATCCACTAAATCATTCTCTAAATGGTCATAGACATGAAGTTAAAAAAAGGAACAAAGGCACATGGCAGTACATGAACCAGGAAAATTCCTTTCTCTTCCATGGCAGCCGAGACACCGGAGTTACTTCCAATTCCGTATGCTGCAGCTGCATTTGGTGACATATTTGATCATCATTACAGTACATCTTTAATTTGGCAATATCATGCCCACTCTTGGTGATGGCTGTTGGCAGGCGTAAATCTTAAAGCCCCCTGTATCCCTGTGCTGGTGTGTGATTTATCCCAGCATGCCTGAGTGCCTGGGTGGCAGCAGCAGAGCATGAACACGCCTGCATGAGGAGAGCCTCTGAAATGATGAAGGACTCAGAGCAGCTTAGAGCTGCTTTATTACACTGTGCACGCGCACACACACGCACACAGACAGACACACACACAGCACACACACACACACACACAGACACACACACACATATACAGACACACACACCCACACCCTCACGGATGGACAGCAAACACTTCTCCCACACATGGGCTTTATGAGTGGAGGATATAGCTCCATAACGGATCAAAAGAAAAATGGTGATAGATTAGATCAAAAAGCCAGACGGGCACTTCATTGACCAGATAAGGAAATTCACACTTTAGAGCTTTGGGCCAAATTTCTCTGTTTCATGGCAAAACGTCTTTCTTTCAAACTTGTCCCAAACTTAGCATGGCTGTCTATGTTACTCTCACAATCTGCCAAAAACAACCATTGGACATCTGCCATAGCTATATATGTTCTTTCTTTTACCTACACACGTGCCTTATACATGGTTTGTATAATGCCCACGCTCATACATAAGCATGGGCTTATACAAACAGCACATAGTTAAATGGTCCCCAAATTTAAAAAATGAAAAAATTAAGAAAATATGAAGAAAAAGATCAGATGAAGAAAAAGATCAAATATGTGACACAGATTTAGTTTGTGTGTGAGAGAGTGAGCAGTAACACACTGAATCTGACTGTTTTAATTCCAGTTTTGGCCTCATTCATTTGTGGTACTGGAATCTGATATGTACCCGATGTGCAGCAATCTGACCCTGTCTAAACAATCAGATTGGAAATCATGACACTTTTATGCCAATCTAACGCAAAACTCATCATAATTTCACACACGTGGAAACAAACACCTTATGGCAATGTCACTGAAACACCTGTTACCACAGTTAGGCTTCGTTTTGGAGAATGAGTGTGTAGAACTCAATACTCAAATAATTTCACAATAATGTAATAAAAATTTCCATTTGTTCAAAGATTTAATAAAACACAGTAATATAATAAATTATCTAATAATGTAATACTGTCTTAACTAATAATGTAGTACTTTATTACATAATTGGGGATTTTTTCACTTATTCACCTTGACCATATGTAATGCCTTTTTACATTATCAGAAAAACAGAATATTTGTAAGTTGATCATTTTTGCTCAAATGTTCAAAATGGATGATAAATGGATATATTTTTAGTAACAGCAGTTACCAACGGTCTCCTACAATGCTTCTGTGCTCTGGAATCACACTGGAATCAACCCTGCCTCGAACAAGAGGAGCATCAATGAAAGAAGGTCTCAGAAAAGGTTATTCTTCTTTCAGTAAGAGCCTATACTTTTAAGACTTCTTTGTAAGACTGGTTCTGGTTACAACTGTAACCTCCCTGGTCTGGATAAAGTAATAAAGTCTTATCAGATTCAATAAATTCTGTTGATGATATTACAATCAGTAACAGAAAACCAGTAAATCAGTCATATTTGACCGGGACGCAACCAGAGAGCTGACAGTGGCACCTTTTGTTCTTCTCAATAATGTAATAACGTATCACACATGGTCAAATTAAGTGCAAAATCTTATTTCATTTCTGGATTAAATTACATTATTAGGAAATTATTACATTATTGGGTTCTACAAGAGCAGGGGAAGTGTTAAAGGACCCATTATAATGGAAAACTGAATCTCTGATTTTTTCCTTACACTCATAAAAAAAAGGTTCTTCAATTTTTTTTAGTAAAATAGCTGGTTCTATAAAGAACCACAAATACTCAAAGAACCCTTTGCATGATTAAAGTGTTCTCTGCATCATGAGTGCATTCTTCAGATTGATGGAGAATGTGCTATAGATGGTTCTGAAGAACCTTTTTGAAAATGGTTCGATATAGCACCCAAACGGGTTCTTCTATTATTACAAGTTTTACATCGTAAGATGAACAACACTTTTGGGTGCTATATAGAACCCTTTTCAAAAAGGTTCTATGTAGAGCCATCTACGACACATTCTGAAGAACCCTTTTATGATGCAAAGAACCCTTTAATCATGCAAAGGGTTCTTTAAGTGTTTGTGGCTCTCCAAAGTACCACTTTCTTTACTAAAGGACCCTTAAAGAACCATCTTTAAGAGTGCTCAAATACATTTACATATATTCGCTTATTCAGTCTACAGCAGTTTAGCTCCACCCACCCATCCCGAAGTTGTAAGGAGTGTTTCAGTCTATTGCGTAATAAATGAAGCACAGTGCAAGACAGCTAGTAAGAACGGAGATCATGTACATATATCAGTCTGAAATACATGGTAATAAATGCAGCCTGTTTAATTCGGAGGGATAAAGAGAGGTTGGAAAATGCTTAAAAACATTTGTTTATGGGCCTTTTAACAAATAAACCAAAAAAAAAAACTAACAGCCATTCAAAATCACATTTATTACAAGAATATTTTGGAAAAAAAAATGGCCCAATTTGAAATACCGGTGTTTGTGACATCAACATCCAGTGCTTTTACAAATACATGCCTACCCAACCTACAGAAAAGTATCCCACCGCCCATCCTCACCAAAGTTATGAGAAATGTTTCAGCTATGACATCACACTGTATAGTTGCTGCCATTTTGAGGACCGAATCAGGGAGCGACTGGGCTCTCTGCTGTACACACCTCATTCAGCTCAAGACGGGGATAATTAGCTAATAATATCAGGTATTTTAACCAGGGAGACCACAATCATGCAGCACAGGGGTTGCAGGACTGGAGCTGGGAACTCTGCACTAACTGCACTAGCAAACTTACAAAATCACATCTGTCGAAACACAAATTTAACATTATGCAACACCATGGGATCCTTTACCCACCCTAACGTGAAGAGCCTGTAGGCTTGTGTGCTTTTAAATGCTTTGAGCGACTCTCCAGAACAGGGAGAGGGGTTGTGCATGAGATAAATATAAATGTCAGGAAAACACAAATTTGGCAGCTTTCCGCCAGGTTAAGTGGGACCAGGAGTTCAGAGGAAACTGTATAAGGATGCAGCCTATTTTCTCGATTTTGTCAAGGTAATGTTTTGTCTCTTCCAAATAAGGTGATTAATTTTAGCCATCTTTCACCTCTAGTTACATTCGTGCGGAGCAGCGAAGCCAGGTATTCGGTCCCAAATATGGTGGCCACAACAGAAAAATCAGGTGACTGAAACCCTAGGATACCGCCTTTGAATGAAACACAAAACAGGGACACAAATAAAAGGTAATTTACACCCATTAGTCTTAAAGGTACAGTGATAAAAATAGGCTGTTTATTTCTAAGGGATACAGAGAGGTTTAAAAATGGTAATGTAGCAATGAACTGTAACTCATATTGATGCATGAACCCACAATCATGGCATAAGTGGACCCCAAAAAATATTAAATGAAGAAAAATGTAAGATATGGAAATCAGCAATTTGCACAGCTCATTTTCATGTTGCATGAAAGTAGTCTATTCATCTTATTTAAAGGAAGAGGACACTTGTTTTTTGGATGAGCTTGCTGGGTGGAACAGTATTCTGTTGCGGTTGAGGGTCAGTTCAGGAGTGCGATCTGTTCAGACTGATGTCAGGAACAGTTCACAAAACCCCACCAAACAAACAAAAACTAATCTAAGCAGTAAATCATATCTGGGCCAATGTTACCTGTAGTCTGAACAAAGCTTATGTTTCCTCACCTCTTCTGCAGCAGCCTCAGACAGAAGCCCCTCCCGCTGTGCGCACGTCACATGGAAAAAAGAGCGGCACATGCCCGCATCGCAGCTGATGCACACGCCCGTCCGGGCAAAACGGGTGTCTTCACATAGACTGCACTCCTGCACACAACACAACGCTTCATTAGGCACATTCTTATACATCACACCATGAACTGTTATAGTTCTGAAAAACCAAGACAAGAGAGCAGATTACAGTGTGGCTGTTCAGTTGTTTCTTTTAAATACACTGCATTTATAATTTAAACTGCCTTCAAATAATGTCAAATATTTTAGAACGACATGCACAAAATCCATTATGCTAATTAGCTCAGATTATGTCTAATTTGGAAAAGTTAATCAAGGAACTCTGCAAGATGATTGTGTATTAGCGGTTGAATGTGAAAAATGCTTAGAACATCATTATAAAAAGTCCACGTTCATTTTTATTGCATAACTCTCCATTACAGATAAGGTGGCCAACCAGACTAAAAGCCTATTTGACCTTGTCAGCACCTGACGAAGCAGAAGGTCACCATTTCAGAAACCTGAAAATATGTCAATTACAGGAGCTCAAAATTAAAATAATAATAGTCTTTTTCAGGAGCAATTTCCTTTCAAATGTAAAGAACAAACCATTAAAGGAAGACTTTGAAGTGCTTTTAAAAGTAATTTGCTTCACAGTATAAGGGTCCTCTTCTGGCTTACTGACCCTAAAACTTACTTTCAGGTAAAATAAATGTCAGAATGTCTTCACTGAAAGCAGAAATTCTTCGGAGGAATACACAGAATGGTTTTGAGCCAGGCAGGAACAGCACTGTTTTGAAACCTTTACAGGTTGATGAACCAAATGGGTTGATTAAGAGCACTTTCCCATATACCGCTTTGTTCTGCTTGGGCCATGAACTCCTCTAGAGATTAAAATACATATGAATTCCGTGCAGAATACCAGGTATTGTGATGTTATAGCTCAAGAAGCAACTACTGTCATCTGGAATTAAAATGTCCATTACAGTAAAGTGAAAGCAAAATATGTCACGAAGCAATATAAAAACACAACAGCATAACCGAAATGTCTTATCTTATGTAATATATATACGCTAATATAGTGATGCTCATCCTTTCTTTATCTCTCTGGATGACTTGATGCTTAACAAATAAAATACAACTGCAGGTAAACACAGTAATGCTACTTTATGTATGTTTGTCTTTCTGTTATTTCTGCACATATTTTTCCATATTTTGATCTCTTTCTACAAGAAAGTTCCCTTTATTTTACCCTGATCCATCATTAAGAAAAATAAATTTTCCCCTTTTATTACAGGCTGGGAGACCTGCCCATATTGGATGAAATAGACACACTGGGATGTAAATGTATGGTAAATGTATGATTACATTTTCTTCATAACGTTTTGTTTTTGGCCAGAATAAAAATCTCAGTGTAATTTCACATGTAAAGATTTTTTTAGGTCCAAGCATAGAAAAAGAATGTTTTTTCCAAAAATCTGCTATTGTACTCTTGAAAAGTTGATAATAAATGACATGAAACTTAAACACAGTGTTTCATCTTTGCCATTTTATTACAAGAAAGTGCTCCCCCATTTGGATGTATGCAGACATAAGCAATCAATTTCATATAGCATGTTTCAAGCCCTAATAATCAAAAACAGGGCTTTCTTTTGGGCTTTCTTGTAGACTTGACAGTCCAATCAGTATTAGTGTTGCCTGGAACTATTACCATTATTCTTCTATGGTGATATTAAAAGGTTTGAACATGCCCAGCCAAATTTCATGTCTTGCTGATTTTCTAAGTGAATATAAGTTTACACCCTCTACAGGGAACAAACTTAAAATATGGCATTTTTGTTGCACAAAATTCCTATTTATTGGCTGTTTACCATATTATAACACTATTATTAACATGTTTTAGAGCATTGATAAAAACATATACAAGCTGTCTTTTTGTCTCCAGCATGGAGAAAATATTTTCAAAAACAGTAATTGTGCATTATGCATATAACATAACGTGACAAGCTTTTGCTTGCAACTGTACATTTTTATAGAAATACATGCAAAACTATTTTTTTGCCCTGTGTGAATTGAAAACATTGTCACATATGAATTCATCTCATGTGAATTAACTAACTATAATCTAAACGATATATATTAAAATGTGGTGTAGAAACATGTACAGTGTGTTCACTGTATTTTTTAAGAAGAATTCTCTGTAATGATACTGCAGCCCTGCACACATTTGATGATACCACGTTTGCACAAAAACAAAAAGGGTCTCAAAAGAGTTTCAAAGGTTCTACCACTCGGCCTGACAAGCAGAAACACTGCTATACGAACAACACTTTACCTCGACTACTAAATGTTTGATTAGTAAAGTATCAATCTTAAAACTAAAGACATTGTTAAGTATAATCAAGTGTATTGCAAAATTGATCATGCTCACACTTACCTTGGCACCGTATTTAGTGTAGTTCATCTCTGTGAGTGTTACTGGCCGCAGTTTGTCGATGTCTCCGAACGCTACGCCTGGAACATAGAGTGCACATACAACATGCACCCACCTTGGAATAGAACACAAAGACTGGGGGTCAGCAAAAGGCCCAGTAAGAACGTTCATAGATCAGTTTATCTGGATCCAGGAACATATCATGACCCTGTTCAACTTAGTGAACTGTAGTACTAATGCATATGTATTTATGAGTGTGTCCTGTACTGCAAAAGACAAAGCTGTAACTATATCGTAGCATCATAAAACTAGACTGTAGTGAGGAACTCTAGTTACGTTCCTTCACCACTTTCAGGGAACGGAAATACTCACTTGATTGCTCAAACAGGCTCTAACTTGACCATTTCTTGTTACAAAATTTCAAATGCAGACTTGGGGGACAGGAATCCGAAGTCCAATATAAAGATATCCATCTCTGGCGAGCATGCGCTCCACACTTTAATTTGCTGTGTTTTTCATGCTCTACTGAAGTAGCAAATTCGGGTGCAGGCAGGCTGAGGAGCACTATCAGCGATAACGTGGCTTGAGTCTCCACGCTCCACACAACTCTCTTCTAACCCCCCCCCGACTCTCTCTCTCTCTCAGCCCCAACTCTACCTCCCATCATTACCCCTCTCACCTTCGCTTCCCCTCTTTCTCTGAGAATTCTTAACCTCATGTTAATGAATCATGATTCATTTCAAGTTGCTGAGCATGACAAAATCCAGAAAGTTAAACTCCCTCAAAAAAGAGAGAAAACAAACATTTTCGACAAAGGTAAAGTGTTAGCCAACGCTGAGAAGGACATTAAAGATGCTGTTAAAAGCGCACCTTCCAGCGTCCGTCTCTTTGAAGATCCCATCCTGATTGGGGCAGAGTTCACAGCTGGGAGTGACCCCGTTTTTGCAGGCATCGCAGAACCACGGCTCAGTGGAGTTCTCCGAGGCCGAACTCATGATTGAGTCGCTCTCACCATCAACTCCATAGCAGCCTATGGAAAAATGTCATGATTAAATCAAAAGGCATCTGTTTGATAATGCAGTGTTTCCCCTACCTTTAAATAGGCAAGTAGACAGTTCCACTCAGGGACGCGAGCAGTATACACATGACGTATATAGTATACACAGCAGTATACACATGACGTATATAGTCACGTATTGCTAAATTAAAGGCCTTTATTTAATTGTAATTTTCCTCAATAATTTGTAAAACAGACGGTGCCGTAACAGCCTATGTTGCGATGAAAGATGATAAAATACACATAAAACTGACATCAACCTGCTGATGCACATCTGCTATTACTCGTCCTCCTTATGTAAATGAGCTGGCCAATCAGACTGTTAATATGTGACACGGTAACTGATTGTGCCATGCCTAGGGATACAACAATAGCATTTCTTGCAAAGCAAATACGAGTACATGGACATTTAGTACTCACCAATACAGAGTCCGATATCATACTGAGTAACCTACTTAAATAAAGTTTCTGAGGAGCTCACTTTTTGTGTTGTTTAAGTCATTTTTGCTGGTTGAGCTAAGCAATTTTAGAAATCTTGTCCTTTGGTGACCCACACTGTACATATGAATAGACCATAGCATACAGAAAAGGCCAAAGATTTATATGCTCACACCGTATGAAAACCATGCTACATGGACCACAGCCCACACAGGCAGCTCTCTCTAAGAACAATTTCAAATAAAGCTGCTTCATTCAAATTAATATGTACCGACTTTGGCAGCAAATGTCGACTTTTTTGGGTATCAATGCATCCCTTGTCATGCTTGTATCAAGCTACAAGTTGACTACACGATTTAATACTCCAACACACCGAAGCGGATATACAGTCGTATGCAAATGTTTGGGCACCCCGTTCAAATGACATTTTTAACGTTTTGTTGATTTCTAAGTGAAAGTAAGTGAACACATCCTCCACAGAAAACACACTTCTGCACATTTTAATACACAATTACTGTTTATTTGCTGAATTTCACACATGGGAAAAATAGGGTAAAATATGGCCTGTGCAAAAGTTATGGTACATTTTATACTGTTAAACGAATACATAGAATTGTGCACTACAATTTGCAGAAAAGTGTCATATTTACGTTTGTTCTCTGTGGATGAGGTGTTCACTTATTTTCACTTATAGGGGTGTTTATACCTTGATGTGTATATATATATATATATATATATATATATATATATATATATATATATATATATATATATATATATAACATGATTACATAATGGTTGTAAAAAACAACTGCTGTATTGAGAACGTGGGACACTGTTGCATTAGCTGATTTTCTTTTGAAGTACAAAAAAAAAAAACCTATATAAGGCCTCTGCATATATATTAACACTTCTAAACTTGCTTGTGCTTTAGCAAAGTGGCCAACAGCTCACTAATGAAAATGTAGCGCTGCTCTGAACATTGCATGGGTACTGCATGTTTCAAAAATATATAAATATAATTTCGCTTATATTAAAATTCTATTTTTTATAATTATTTTCAGCAGTTGCTGTTCAATAATCCTGAAATACACAACCCCCCAACCCCCTAACGTCCTTCGTTCCACTTCTAGAAAACAAATGTGTAGAGAACCTAAAACTTAGTGCATTCACTGTATTTCAAGAAATAAAAGAAGCCTTTGATGATGCCACATATGCATGACAACACTGGTAGCTTTGAATGATCTACACCTGGCCTGGAAAAAAGGAAAAAATACTGTGATGTGATCGCCAGGTAATAGTGGACAATTAGCAAATTATGTGGACTTCGGCTCCCAGGTTCCTCCACTGTTCCTCTGAAACATTAGCTAAACTTTACAGGTATGGTTTCTCATGTATCAGAAGTGGAAATTGTTAAAACAAGCTTCTGAAGCAATGGTGTAGTGTTATTTATGCATAAAAATATAATCTCATGGACATTTAAGGCCTATTAACTCTAATACACATGTTCACAAGACACGCAGTTATCAGTGTGGAAAGTGAAAATGAGTTCTCTGAAGTTTTCTCGATGTCCACAAAAACTCTAATAACTGATAGCAAATGCCTTCCAAATATAATTACCAGAATGTTGCATCACTTTGTCTTCTGCAACAGAAGAAGAGAAGACGAATGTTAGAACAATAAAAGCCAGCAGCACAACCTCATCGCCTGTGTACCTGCATATCTAGTCTACGCTTGGTGGTTTTGTCTTTAGCCACAAGGCTAACAATTTGATAAACCAGCTATTTCATATAATATAAAAGCAAGTGCAAGACTGCAAGCGCCAAGCCAATGAAAGCGTTCAAAATGTTGTCTTCTTAATTTTCCAGGGCTGCAAAAACAATTATTGTGCTGATCGGGTTACCATGGCACCTATTAAACTCGGCAAACGTGCTCCATGCCACCAATGAGGACAGCAATCAGCTCCTTCCCGCCATTTCAGAGATAACATTCTCACTCCTAATTCAACAAAGCAGCCTCCAGGCAGCAGGGGCGTGGGGAAAGACCGGCAAATAAACTCCGAGTTCTGAACTCTTATCATAACAAGCTGGTGGGCTAGAGCAGACTGAGTGAATGTGGACAGAGAAGAACGGTGTGTTCCACAGCCTCCAAGAGCACTGAAAATCCAGAAATAGAGGGAAAACTGCTATAAAGCTAAATGGAAGGGAAACATTTAGGGCTGCCATTCTAGATAAAGATTCAAAATGGACACAAGAGTAGCCTATTGTGCCAAAATACACTGTTTAATGAACCAGGTTATTCACGGCCATTCATGGCCATAAGTCTCATTTCTTTGTCATTCCCAACAGATCAGGCTTTGTTCCTTTTCTTAACACCAGCCTAAACATTTCTTCAGTGAATGTAAAGGGCATACACTCTTTCCCAGCATGTGTGTGGTAAACAAGAGGCTTTTTTCGCTGGTTTCGACCCTGCAGTGAGCTAGGAGGGCAGGAGGAACCATCCTCGGAGGGTTCACATGGCTCAGCTCGACGTTTATTTCCTTAGAGAAAGGTATTACCGAAGCGCTGCTGGCAACAGTTAGGCGCTTAATACTGATTGGGCTTTGAACCATGGCGCTGGTGCTTTCGACGATCAGCGCGCCGGTTTAACCGACTTACTGCTGAACCATCGAGCAAATCTGCGATGTTCCTTTTGAACTGAGATACAAAGCTGGAACCGCTAAGCCACAGGGTACTGGCTAATAGGAGCTAAGCTAGAAAAAAGTGATGACTGCGGGATAGCTTCATAATCCCCGAAGTGAAGATTATCCGTGTCAGAAATGACGAGCTTGGCAGTTAGAGAGAGGCCGGGGGAGGGTGTTGACAAAATCAAGAGGAGTACTTTTAAGGGTATCAAGATTTAATGGGAAAAGGTTCAGAGTGGTTTGATGGAGCTCACACTTTGGGTCAGTGCGCGCTTGTGTGTGACAGCGTGCGATAATGGGAAAGCAATGGGGACCAGGTTGGTGACATTGCTGCATTTATCCAATAACATTATCAATAGCGTGTAGCTAGAGCATTACATTACATGGACAGTACTCACCATTCTGTGGCACTGGCCACCGAGTTACCTATGCGACACATAATTCTAAGTCCAGAGAGAAAAAGATCTTACTGGTTTAAATATGCTTATTAAACAGGTTTTCATTCCAAGAAAGCAGAAGCGCATATTATCAATTGTTTTAAGACTAAAACAACCGATTTAACAAAGAGTATCAGAATACATGTCTAGGTACAACGATGACAGAACTCGGGCTAAATGTGGGTGGGACAGTATACTCATTAAGCTGAAAACTGAGTTCTCTTATCTAGGCAACCGTGTAGAAAATAACAGTGGTAAACAGTTAAACCAGGTTTGGGAAGTTTACTTTACTGTTTTGTGCTATAACTTTCTGAGGCTCCCTTACACTGATGTGGCTGCACAAGAAAACACAGTGATACCATGCGAGTTCAGTAAAGGTTGCGGTTGTAGTATTGTCATCATTAATTTGGCCCCAAAACTGTAATTAATCTAGTAAGAATGAACAGAACTGCAAATGTCACACACACTTTACTGTCTGAAGAGTTTGTGGCCACTTAGCTTGGCCCTTTGCCTGCCGACTTCTCTGTTTTTAATGAGACCGAAGTCATTTTTCAGTCTGAAACCTGATGCTGTGGTGTGAGGACGTCCAAAAATGCACACCGTATAATAGAGGCAGCTTTTGGCACAGGTGCCTCCAGAACAGAGCGTGTTTAACCAGTTCAGCTGCATTTCTACAACAATCTTATCAATGTTGGTACAATATGTGGCATTAATGAAGGACATCACATTACTCAGTGTTTAAAAGTTCAGATACATTTTACATGGGTGAATACTGCTGTCTTGCAATGGTTGGCGCAATTTTTTTTTTTTTTCCGAGTTTTAAAAGTCATTTGCGGCTGTTACCCAAAACACAAGCCTAGCTTGAAATTTCTAAATCTACTCCTTTGTGAAGATGGAGCTAAAAGTTAGGAATCATGGGCGTTTGTCAACACTGCCCGCACATCCAGCCTCAGTGCCATGCAAGCTTGCATGGATGAAAAGTCCCCTGAAACATCTCAAATTAAGCATTTAGATGGCTGTTGCATGCGTGGAGAACACATTTACAGTACACCTTGGCTTTAAGAGACATCACTGGACTAGTGATAACTGTGGGTTCACTGTGGGTTACCTACAGGTATGCAGTCTCTGCTGTTCACGGTTGTGACAAAAGAGTTGGAGTAAAGCAGATAATATATTTTAAACAAAAACAATGTTTCTAGGCAAACCGATGTCTTTTTGTCCAAAATTGACACAGTGGTTTGAGTTTGAGCAGAGTGGTATACACCGCTTGCTGAGCAAAACTCCTAATTACCATGTTGTTTGTTGGCACCCCCACCTGATTGACTGATCCACTGCACAGAGCAGTGCTGAGATGTACACGAACTCAAAAAAATGTTTTTTTTCTATACAATTAAATTGTTTATTTTACTTTTTAC